AAATCACTAAGTTCTGTACAATCTATTAGATTTATTTTATATAAAAAAATCAAGTACTGTCAATCTGATTTAATGTTTAAAAGATTTATGTATGATATTATTCATGCTGGGATTGGATAAGTTACTTTTTCTATGTCAGATGAGCTATCGTTTTTGCAATTGTAGGATGCCACATGCCCTACCAGAATTAATTTGTCATAAGACTACATTATAAAATTCAATAATTTTACAATAAATCCAACAAAGTTTTTCATTTTTCTTTATTTATTTGATTTTAGTAATATGTAGAATCATCAATTTTGTTGAAGTGTTAAGTTGATAATACAATATCCTTACTTTTTAAGAGGAAAATATATTCAATGATTTATAATGTATATAAAAACAATATGAAATAGTATACTTATTTATAGTTAAAGCTTTAAAATTATGAGGCTTGAATTTAATCTTACAAAAAAGGAAGGTAAAAATTATGAGAATTTTATCCTTTAATTAGCATTTCAAAAATATCAGCAAAGAACTATTTATTTTTTTTTATAGCGAAAGTACTAAGACAGAGAAAATGTTAATTTCGTTTATTCTTTCAGCAGACCTGTAACTGTAACTCTAATGAGAAAATTTGCTTGTATTTAATCCAAGTTGTTAAATTGCTTATCTTCAATCTTTAAGTTTAATGATTCATTATCATTGTAAAACTAGCTTACATCAGAATATATTTCTGTTTATTTCAAATGTGGAAAACTTTTTAAATATTTAAAATTTTTCTTTTTTTTTTCTTTTTTAATTCGTCTTAGAATAATTCTCTTGTTTACAATATTGCGGCAAGCAAATTTTTCTCCATATTAATGTTCAAGGAGTATTTTGCCCATTTTAATATTTTTTATTCATTTTAAATGAACCGATTTCTCTATAGAATTTAAGATGAAACTTAATTCTAATGTTATAAAGTTAAATCTAAATTGTACATGAAGCTTCAATTTATTTTTGGTTTTTTTAAATATAGAATTTATTATTTTCTCTATATGAATTGTAAATATTCTAATTAATAAGTTTAATGTATAAATTTAAAATTAATTGATATGTTATACAACTAAAATAATTGTTCGTTCACATATAATATTTTTATTTAAAAGGTTAAGCCGGATAAAGTAAAAAAAAAACTCGAAATACGAGAAGAAGAAATCCTATATAGTATATATTTAAGGCGAAGCATCCGAAACACGCGTTTTTTCATAATTTTCTCGGCTTTCTAACTTCCAAATTGTAAAGAAAGTTAAACTTAATGATTTGTGTGCTAGTAAAATTCGATAGTCCATATCTTAGTATGGACCTCCCCGTTGGGCCACCCTATGGCAGAAAATTAACTCTAAAGTAACAGGGTCGTTGAAATGAAGAATGTCCTGATAAATTGTTGGTAGCCCTGCTCCACATCCCATTACAACTGTCTCGTAAACATTCGCTTTTCCGGTCTTACATTGCTACATTTAGCTTCTGCTATATAAATTTTTACCCGAAAGCGTAATGCATTTCTCTTTCGGGTTATGATAATTATCGATATTTATTATGCCTCATACCTTTTCCTCGAACTTAGATATCTTCAGTAGCAGTAGCATGTCCGTGATTGCTTACAGCTTGCTTATACAGAACTAATCATTTTTAATTGTAGAAAGTGGAAATGTATATATGTAAAATATTAAACTAATGAAAGTAAAATGTAGTAATTATAATCAATGATCTTGTATATAAACTCTTATTTATTTATAAATTATAAATAATGAAAGAATAAATGTTATTATTTTACTGCATGTTTCTAATACGTTGAGAGTGTTTTACTACAACACTCATGCTTACTTTTTGTTTTTATAGAAGTCATATGCATGTTTATACAGTATCCTACACCTGACATACCCATCTGTTAGTGCCGTGATGTATTTGAAGATGCAGAGATCCGCAGATAAACTTTCTGTTAATGGATGAAGACGTCAGACTTCTGCTCTTGGATACTTTTGACGATTAATATCAATGTAATAAATATTTATGGTTAAAGTTAATCTTTAAATATTTTTATTACTTAAATTCATAGATGCAAGAGTAGAATATTAACTCTAAAAATATTTTTTTTATTACGAAATTTCAACATAAATAAATGTTTATTGAAAGTAATTATATTTTGCATACATGATTATAATTATTTAATACATTTTATAAATAGTTATTTATTACAGGTATAACATATGTTACGCTAATTATAAGTTTATTGTAGTTATAAAAGATTTTATTTAATTATCTGATGGGAATTTTTATGCTAAATACCTCCTTTGAAAGAAACTATATTTAATAAGAAAGTACAGTTTTAAAAAATGACAAGGCTGTCTTCTATTAATGCAGAATGAGGTGGAAGAGTGGATCAAAGTTTGAGAAGCTTGAAAAAGAAGGTCGGAGACCTCCCCATCAATAAAGAAGCTCTTGAGTGTCGTCTTGCTTCCGGTGGTTTGACATCATTACATCGAGGCGGTCAAAAATCATTAAGGTCGACCATCTTTCATTTTACTGTCTGCCTTCCAGACAACTTGTGCACTTTATGAACATCTTTCACTAAATTCTTATATCAATTTTAGTGCATACATTATAATATGTCTTTCTGCTGTGATTGATAACTCGGTATTTTTTGCATCATGTATTTAGTAAAATATTAAATATGCAGTGATTACAAATAAAAGTTTCGTAATAAAATAGAATATAAATTGAATCGTGTTCGTTAAATTATGTTTTTACACGTAGGTATAAATGTATTTAATAGCTAATCTTAATTTTTTTATGTTTCAAATTCAAAAATATTTCAAAGCGTTTTTTATCATTATGAGGAAATTTTGTAATGCCCTACCGTATAGGATTTTTTTTAGAAAGTAACTTAACATAATTTTTATTGTTATTTAATGTTAACCACAAATGGTACTGGTATATCAAGCACCAATACATTTGAGAGAAGACATCTTTTATCTAAATTAGAATCAAATCTTGGAAATCTCTTCGAAATTTAAGTCTTTGTATATTCTAAGACTCTTTTAAAAAAACAGTAAACTATTTTAATTACAAAATTCAAATGCCAAAGATGTTAGCCCGCTTTCTATTTATAGTTTACTTGTAAAGATAATAAAAGTTCAGAAGAAGCCGAATTTCAAGAATTAAGAAACTCGTACAAGAAATATTTTCTGTATACCTAATTCCTTCAACATCGGCGAAAATAGTGGAATTTCGAGAAACCAAGGATTGACTTCCGAGAAATAGAAACAATCTCAGGACAGTTAAAATAACGACTTGACTCCAACTAGGAAAAAGAAACGACGTGCAAATTGTTCGGTATCTTCACCGAATCCTCGTATCACCGTTCTTTAGTGTCACGTGCAATTTAGAGTGCCCCTTGATGAGAACAGTGCAAGACGTTGTTCCTCTTCGAGGGTAGAATTGGATAAGAAGAGCCGAAAAGAAACAGTGTTTCTTTTAACAAACACAAATGATCCTAATAAGAATCGTCTAACGATTTTACCACATTCTTATATACTTGACATTAAAATTTATAACGTATCAGAACGAATCTTTCACAGTTTTCGACAAAGAGTTTTAGTCTCTTATAACTTAGTTTCAGTTTAAGTTATAATCAATAATTCTACTGGTTCCTGAAAGAGTCGAAAAGCTAAAATTCTGAAAATATTTTAGAAACTGGATGGAAAAGTAAGCTTCCAAATTACATATACCATAATAATATATTATAATTTAAGCAGAATAATAGAATTATTTTAAAGATTAAAAGTTATTTCGGTAAAAATATTGAAATTTAAGCGAAATGTAGCGTTTGATTAAATTTCGAAACAAATTTATTTGTATTTGATGAAATATAGCGTAGTTACTACATAAATTTCACATAGGCCTATTCTAATATATGAAAGTTTATCTACAGAAAAATTTTTATTAAAATTTAATTATTAAAACAATATTTTCATAGCGAAGGTATGACCAACGTGGCCTTAGCGCTAGGTGCTAATTAATCGAAGACACGAATACTTTTTAAATTATATTTATTAAATCAATAATAATTATATATAATTGGAGAAAAATAACTTAAGACTTGGTACATAGGTCAATACATATATATGAATACGAGTATTTATTAAGTTGCTTTTTACTTTTTGTCATAAGAGCCAAATGTCTCTACGACGCTGTTAGATTTAAAACAAGTATGAAAATATCTGATATTATTGTTCGTGATAAGAATAAAAAACTTCAAATTTTAGTTTAAAATAAAATAAATCTATTAAAATTGTCATTATATAGAAATATTTCAAATTATGTTTCAGAGCATTGTTATAAAATTGTAGGCCTAAATTAAACTGCGATCATAAATTAATAAAATTTACATTTTTGTAGTAAAAATGCTAATGAAAAGAGTGAAATTTGTTAAAACAGTTTTAAGGAAATTGAAAATTAAACTGGAAATAAAAAAAATGACTGCAGATTAAAGAAACAGAACTGTGAGTTACATATTAATACCATTTCGATAAGATATATTTTGTTATAACTTAAATAAAGTTTCTAAGAAATTTGAACAATCATCACGTTTTATCACTAAAAATAAAAGAAGTTTGAAGATAAAACATTACTGTAATTCCGTATTATCAAAATTTAGTTATAAACAATGCTTGAATTGGAGAGGAATGCGAAGAACGTCTACTACAATATATATTAACTTTAGCGGTTATAAAATTATTGAAAACCCTGATATAAGTGAAAATAAAAAATTAAACAACAATACTTCATTTAAAAAAGGTGTAAGGTAACAATTGTCCTGGAGGCGCGTATACTTAACGACCGGAACATTCCTCGTGAATACATCTCTAACAGGCAAACATAGATTTTAAGAAAATATTAAGTGATGTAAAACAAGATTTTTAAAACGTAAATAAATAATATAGTGTTGACATTATATTAATAAGCGAGTCTACTTTATTTTAAACATTGATGAAAAAATGTGAATAAATTAAATACCTTTCTAAAATCTAGTTTTTGAGGGAATTCTTAGCAAAATTTATTAAAATATTAACACAGAAATATTTAAAATAAATTGACAATATGGTCGTATTTTTAAATATAAAAATATTTTAATAACTCGAAATGCTTTTTTTTAAACAGAAGAAAATAAAATCATTAAATTTTTGTCAAAATATTAATTTATTTTTTGAGAATTTCAAATAACACGATAAATATTTTTTTGCATTAATATAACTATAATAAGCGATTCCTTTCAATTCTGTCTACAGATGTAGGCTAATATTTATATGGATTATACAAGTAATAACATCTATTCAGTAGAACGCCTACTCTTAATATTCTCAACTTCTCATTCGGATGAACATACGTGATATAAACCTATAGGCCTACAGCATCAATATTTTATTTTAAGATAATCAGTTAATCAATAAAATATTAATTTTTACATTGTATGTGAATAGCGCAAAATGAAAAACAATATTAATATAGAGAATATTTATTATTGTTATATGTGTGACAAACACAAAGACAATATTTTATTCCTTTCATTAAGAGTGTCATGGGAATTTTTGCCATAAACTTAAGATTTATAGTGATAACATGTATAAAAAAACGTCATTGAAGTTAATACATTTCGTTCGCATTTTTTAGATTAATAAAATCTGTGGCATTAATGTAATTCCCCTCTATCTTTCCCTTGACTTATAATTACTAAAATGTAATAGCATCAATGCCCCTATACCTATAGAGGAATTTCTGCTAAATTTCAAAACTTTTGATCCATAAAGTCCTGAAATATATGCGTATTACAAGCCAACACATACACACACACCAACTATACGTACAGAATTTTGCTCACTTTTTTTGTTTCGAAATTAGGGAACCTTAAAATGTTGAGAAATTCAAAAAATCCGCAGGAGGTTCAAAATTTGATCGATTACAATACTTTTCCTCTCTTCTATAATAACCGGAAAAGTAGTACAAATTGAGTGTTACATGAATTTATTTATAAATAAAATTATAAGTTTAAACTCTCAGGCTTAAATGATAAAAGTTCTTCATATTTAAGGAATGACACGACATAGAACTTATCGCACGAATCATTGTGAAATCATAAATTTTCATCTATTGAAAATAAATACAGTACTATTGTTATATAACGTTCGTACTACTGTTACGATTAGCGTGCCACGTTCTCGCCTGATATGCTAATGAATGTTTATTTATCATTTAAAATACAAAAATTTGAATGATTTTAAAAATTTCATATTTACTTTATTGTAGTTTGAATTATAACAATAAAATATATTACAAAAATATGTTTATATAATTTATTAGGAATTTAATTGATAATTCAAAACATTAGATATCTTTTTATTTTTCCTTTGTCTAGTGTTTTGAATAATCAGTTGATTTTCTAATATATTCTACTTATAAATCTTATAATAATATTCTAATTTGCGTTATAACTATGTATAATGCATAATAAACATTAAAAAAATTATTTAAAAAACAATAAAATCAAAACATTTTATTGCATAAGTTTTAGATTAATTACATTGATTTAGTTTATTTTGTTTATGAATTTACGTTTATTCCTTTTATTCAATTTTGTACTTTAAGTTCAACTTCAACAATTAAACTTACTTTTCTTCAGAATTAAATTTATTTAAATCTTTTAAAACTGAAAATCATACACCAATTAAATTTTTATTTCAACCATTATTAATTTCAATTATTACTTAGCAATTTATATTTTTATGCAAATAATTATAAAATATTTTAAAGAAATATGTGCAAAAAATCAACAATAAAAAGTATTTACACTCTTAAGAGAAAATTGTGTAAGTTGTTATATAAAAATAAAAGATGTTTAATACCGATAATTCTTTAAAGATTACAACAATTTTACAAAACAATAGGCTTTAGTCAACGTAATTTGAATGGGGATAATGCAAAATAGCATTTCTTTATTTTAAAGTTTAAATTTTATGAGTAATGGAAGAAAATGTTTTGGTTTTAATTTGAAAAGTCGATTAAACACATTTTTATTTAATTAATTACCACGCTATAAAAAATATTAGAGTAATATTTATAAGTATTTATTTTGAAAATCTGAATGACAAAATATTAAAGTTTATTTTTTAAAATGTTTTAAAAAATTTAAATTTTTAATGTGTTTTATTCCAAATTGCATTCATATTTTAATTGCTTACACTATTTTTTTTATTCTTATGATCTTAGATTAATTAAAAAGAAAATATCGAAAAGTAATGCTTAAATTATTTTAAAACGTGCATGATACGTTAAAGTTAAGACTTGTAAATTAGATAAAGCTATGCTTAACCGCCTAATGTTAACTTTATCCAAGTCACAAGTGGATAAAGCTGGCGTTATCCAAAAACGGATAAATGAATCAAAAACAAAACTTAAAATTCGGGTTTTATCCGAATAATGTGGAATGATAGACTCTTGTTATTTGGATAGCACTGGATATTGCTTTTTAGAGAATAAGCGTTTTGTTTTTAACCATTACGTGGAAATTGGGAACAGAGCGAATATCGTCAGACTTCAAGCAAATTGGCAATATGGAGACGATTTTTTAATTTGATGATTTTTCATATCTATGATAAGCTTCTTAAAAATTACTTT